AAAAAAAGTTCGAGAAAGCAGTTTGCTCAATTCCACTTCCGAAATAAATGCATTAAACCAATTCTCAGGGGTCACGACTTGCTAAAACGAATTCTGGAGCGCACGTGGGGGCTATGTGCTATTGAAACATGTTTAGACATGAGTTCATCTGTTTTGCCTGCCCAGCTTGCCCTTTTGGGAAGAGTGCCTCTGACCGATCACGGCAGGGTATAGTACATGTGCTCCATCTCTCATGGGTACACACACATAGAATCTCCATGCACTCGTTGCAGCTAGACGTAAAAAGAGAAGCGCGATGCTTCTTGTCTGAATTGAGTGAATGATTTGAATAATCGAAATAAGTCTTTGAAAGACACATATAAGGTTGATGTATGAGTTGGATTGCTTCTATTTGGTGATAGAAGATGCTTTTAACGTCAAAGTGATATCTGCGGACTTGGTTTTACTACTTTCAATAGTATGCATAAGCATAAGACCAGGGTCCATAAGGTTGACGATGGACGACGACAAATCAGTTTCGATCCAGCCGAGCATGCTATCAATGGTCTTCCGCAGTGCAAGTTCAGCTCACTGCGCGCAAACGCCATGGATGAAGGCCAGGATCCAGGCTGCGCCTGAGACGTCTGAAAGTAGAAAGGATGGCCCACCACGGGCAGATGCTGGAGATGCTGGCGCAGAGTCCCCCCCGTCTGAGCAGCCTGTGCAGACCTACCCGATTTTGAGAAACCCGAATGTCAAAGCATGGTGTTGCAACAGAGCTGGAGATCGTTGATTCACCTCCGAGCATCAGCAGCGTCTGAGACAACACCGTGTTGTTTGTGCCAGACAGATAGTTGATCCCACAGCGCTGAAAAGACATCTGAAACAGGCTCACAAGGAAACTTGGAATAAGGTTGCGCAGGATCTTGAGGCACAGTGCTCGGAATTCAAAGGAGACTTGATAAGAGATGGAATTTGCCCTTATTGCGATAGGACCTCTTACCGTCGACATTATCGACAGTGTAACGTTATCTTCCAGTCTGCCGTAGCGGGAATCCTGCTCTGCTCACGCGATGACGGGGGAAACGCCAACACCTCCGGGACTTGCGTCGCAAACACAACAGGCACCGACAGCCGTGCAGCAACCTCAGCAGGAAAGAGATCCGCGAGAAAGACCTCGAACCCGGAGAGGTGCTCGCAGCAGCAGGAACAGCAACGAGGAAGACATGCAGCAAACCATCTCCCTCCTGACTGCACTGGTACTGCAGCACGAAGATGCGCGCAATCGGGTTCGCCTCAACACCAGCGTGACGTGCTTTCTGCAACAGCAAGACCCGGGCTCAGTATTGCTGCCGCTCTTCAAAGTCAGTCAAGAATGGCGCAAGAACAAGACTGCAGGCCAGGTAGTCGGGGCTCTCCGCACCACCATCTTGAGTGTCCTGACTCAGGAAACCATTGCAAGGCTCACTATGCTGGAGGGCAACCCAAAGGCCCTTGCAGGAGCCAAGAAAGCAGGCGTCCTGGACGTGGGCAACAAGATGCCATTCCAGAAATGGAGTGCAGCGAACAAGAAGCTGGAAACGGATGCAGCTCGTCAGCTCCTGACCCAGGAGGAGGTACGCAACGTACTCACGGAAATGAAGGAATTCATCCGTCCGGACATCATCACAAGATTCCACGCGTCAAGGCCGCTCAGACAGGAACCACAAGATCAAGATCGAGCCGTGTTCGCGCTGCGAAGCGAGGATGCGGACAAGATGCACAACAAGCTCAGGTCCCTGTGCAACCACTCGGTCTGGGGGCTCGTGTGTGTGCTCAGCTGAGAGAACCCACGCTACAGCGCCACGGACTGGCAGCAGCGTTGCAGAAGGTCACCAACAGAGGCACAGGCAGGGAGCGCTCCATAGGGAAATCACCCAATGCAATCTTGAAAACCGCAGTAATACTTGTTAGATTAATGCATCTGTCATCAGCATCTGCTGGCAGATGACAATGGCCAACTGTGAGGATGCCCTACCCTCAGCATGGCGGCTACAAATACGTGCGCGTCATTGGTGTCCTAGAAACTTCCTCAGGCTACCACTTATGACCTGGAGGCAGCCGGAGGCGCAGCATGATGTTGCGGAATTCCTGACATACATTTTGCCCAGGTTCGCGTGGTACCCCTCTCTTTTTAGTTGGAGTGTCAGGCTTTGGATTGGGGATGAAATACAAAGAGAGGCGCACCAAGCTGTGCACCTGCTCCATCTTAGTGCGCCAGATGGCCTTATCAGCTCAAACCTTCAGGCTACCATCGGCGCGTGGCATCAGCAGCATCAGCTGCGTGCCCTCGACTCAGCACCAAGTATGCTTGTGATTCAGTTGCCCAGGTTCCGGCAGACAGATACTGGTCAGTACGTTAAACATGGTATTCCAATCAATCTTCGCAGCCCCATCAGCATTCCTGTCTTCCACAACGAGCAAAGCATTGAACGCAATTGGCGAGAATATGTTACACAGGCTGCCCTCGCCTCATCCACCTTGGCCTGACGTGAACGCTGGACACTATCGAGCGGCCCTGATAGACTCAGGTTCCTCTGATGGTACTATCTGGTACACAGATGACAACAGGGCAGCCACAAGTGTGAACCTCAGAGACACAGGGCCATATGATGAGATCTCCACAAACTGTTATGTGCTCTATTGCCATGCCTCATCATCAGGTGCCAGCAGGGAAGGGGAATGAACACTTGTGACGAGTATGGATTGTGGTCGCACCACTCCATCCTGGGGGATGATACTCTGTATATAGTGATGGCTTTAGCTGTGGCCTAATGTGAGAACCCTGCAGGGGTGCTTCATGCATAGGCCCGACCGGGCATGAATGCATGCAAGATTTTTCACTTAGCATGGGCAGTGCGCTGAGCCGCTGATGGTTGGTCTTCTTGAGCCTCGGCTCCCAACCATCGCACTTTTGGTCTCACGGGTCTGTTGGTATAACCACACCCTCTCTTTAGGGGTTGCCGCCGCAGAGCGGCCGCTGCAAAGTTGCAGTGAACCAAGCTTCGCCAGTAGGTTACTATAACCGCTGCGGTCCAAAGGTGAAAGGTGAAAGGATGGGCCGAGTCGCCTGGACTTTTCAGCACCGCTTCTTAGTGGCATTGTGCGTGCAAGACCAAGCCTTGACTCTCTCCTTTAAGGATGGGGGTTTCAGCAGTGAGTCGATCAAGGCACGCCCCATTTGCAAAAGAAGGTTCCGTGTGCTGTGTGAAGTGTGATTATTCGATATGAATATTTCCATACATTGGATGGAACTCTTTATTTGAGATTGATGTTTAAATTTTGCAACGTGAATATGAGACTAAGTCTCATGGAATATTGTGGCACGCAAAGTTGAAATAAGGGGATTCTGATTTTGTTAAAAAATGGGGGATGTCTGTATGAGGGGCTTTTCGCTTCCGGCAAAATCTTTCCATTTTGGCCAAGTAAGCAAAAAAAACTACAGCGTCTGTCTAGAAACTCGTGTTTCGTTTCCCCGCAAATTGAGAACAATGCATGGTCGCCCCAAACAAAAATCATTTTGAAAATACGGTTCAGGAATCTTGCAGTGTTTTATTAACGTTGTTGGCCTGCGTGCTTTACAAAAAACTGGGCCGTGTGCTAGCTGGTAGCAGTTCTCGCCATTCAATCAAGTTAAAGCTTTCGCAAGCGGTTTCGGGGCTTTAAGGGGGGCCCCCTTGGAATTTGTTTCCATTGCACCGGTCTTTTGGGCTGGGTCATGCTGGGTACTTTTATCCTGGCCGCCTAGGGTTTGTGAAAGCTCCAAATTACATTTGATATGATGTGATCGTGAGCTCGAGGGTCGCATTCTATTTGTGTGTTCGAGATACCCAAACTTTTCTTGGAGCCCGCAGTTTTGGAGTTCCTTTTTGGCATGCATTCATGTTGAACTCAAGCTTTGCCCACATGAGCTTTGTCGCACATGATTTTTGATCAAATTGCGATGCATCATGCCGCAAAATTTTTTGCGGTCAACAATATCCAGCTTCGTTGTGCGGCTAGCAACATTTACCAGGTTTTGCACAGTTGATAGCAAGTGGTGCCATGACGGTCCGTTTTGATTATGGAAAGGCAGCAATACAGACATGGAGGGCACAAACAACACGTCTGAGCAACACAGACTAAATTGTAAATTGCAATGTCTTGCATGCAATGGGTAGATGTTGATGCGGGCTGTGTCGTTGTGTGATGAGCCATTGGAACCTTGCGGGAGCTTGACGCGAGGACGGGGACCATGTCATGTTACATAAAACTACAGGTTTGGGAAGGCGGAGTTGCAAGCTGGTTACAGCCCCAGATGTGTTGCATCATGCAACGCAGCACATCTGCATTCTCCATGCTTAGGGACACGCATTGTGGTCTGTACCACGGTGACCCGCAGGACAAACGAAGTTGCATGCAGGCTCCTTAGCACTGTAAGATTGCACTTTGTCAATTTTACACATGCCCAGCTTTTGATGGGAGGTTGCCGGAAGGCGATAGGCATTAGTGTGCAACCATCGTGAAACTTCCATGCAAAGACAATTCAACCGCAGCCGTGCTTATGGTCTCTGACGCTCAGATCGTTTGCCGCTAGCCTACAGCTTCCTGTAGATAAACCATGCGATTGCTCTTGACACTGCTCATTGCCACTTGGGCACATGCTGGATGCTCAGTTTGACGGCCTCCATTTGGAGCTTTTTGTATGTGTTGTTGTGCTGTGATTGCAGACCTGACTGTGATTGACTCCTAGTGTCCTAAACGCTCTGATGAGGCGGTGGAGGTCTTCGTGATGTTAGGCTGCTGGGAAGGAGTGTTGAGAGGGTGTGTGCATGCGCCAGAAAACATTTGCTTTGAGGCTTGGATGCGGTAACGAATTCTGGCGATTTAAAAGATCCAGACAAGTTGAGGAGCCAGTTGCAGCAATTGAGCCTTGTCCGAACTCATTATTGAGGAAGTTTTTTGGTTCCTTTTCTTCAATCACGCACAAAGCTGAAGGAAAAGTGGCAATGTGGACGGCGTCATGGCCGATGTGTGGTGGGGTGCAACAGAGCCGAGTGCAAAATCCTACAAGTTTGATGGCTACAGACAGCTGTTGGACATGTGCAAGAGCACTGGTCTCAAGGCAGGCGGCAAGCGAATGTGTCATGCAGCACGGAACATGTTTATCTCCTGCAAGGTGCAGCTGGTGACCTCGTTCCATCAGTGCGGTGGTAATGTGGGTGATACATGCGACATCCCCCTGCCAGCATTTGTAACTGGACATCCAGACATCTGGTACAAGGACAGGCAACGTGTGGAGATAGTTTTCAGCTGCTCACAAGACGGCAGGACCAGCACGGGCATGAAGACAAGGAATATATTTCCCTTTTTGCTGACAACGTCACGATTGAAGGCGCTGGCTGAGGTCAAAGTGCATCTCCTACCAGACTTTCTGTCAGGTCGAACTCCTTTGCAAATGTACAGTGATTGGTTCGACGCTCTCTCATCGACCTTTGCAGCTGATATGGGCAACTCGGTCGCATGTGATCTCCGGTGGCAACTCGGCAATGCTGCCTGATTCTGTCCAGGCAGCGTCATTGAGGAAATCCAGGCGGGCATGTTCATAAATCTCCTGATAGTCGGCTTTAGCCGCAAGTCTGAATGCACTGTGGATTTTGCCTAAAGTTCCGGAGCCTGAGCATTGGCCCGGGACAGTAGCAGATATTGATGCAGGTGGGCATGGGGCCTGCTGGCGAGCTCAGATATCCTGCCCGCAGCCACAGTGGTTGACGCAGTCAATTTGCATGTCGGCAGATTGCAGGAGATGAGAGTGTGGGGGCGCTGCGTGTTCATTGTTCCTTGCGTGGTCTCAGGCCTACCAGCTATCTGAGTGGAAATTCTGTGGCATCGGCGCCTTTCAATGCTATGATGCCAATGCGCGTGCAAGCCTGGCTGCAGCTGCGAAGAGCGCAGGAGCCAAGCACGTGACCCCACAGGTATTCTCGGTGACTAAGACTCAAACGTTTCTTTTCAGTATCATGTCTTCCTTTGGCCTGTCGATCCAGTTTGCCTGGATGGACGGTCATCTCCGAGGCCATCGCATGCCGCATTTTCAGAACCTTCAATAAGCGTTGTGCAAGCTAAGCTAAGCAGGAACGCAGGCGAAGTGGAACAGATAGATGCTGATTATGGTTAATTGCAACAGTTAACCACTCCAGCAATATGTACCGAGCAACCACATTTGTGACCCCAAGCCCTGAGCCCTCTGAATTTTGTTTTCCAAAGCGGTCTTGTCCTCTTTGGCTAAACCAAAATCATGCAGTAGCTATGATCCAACGTGAACTGTGCTACCTGTTCATCAAGATGCTCCTGCAAGATCAGGCACGTTCATATGACACACTGCTCAGACGAAGCCCGCAATCTTATGAACGCAGGCTTGTGAAAATGTTCCACAGAGCAGTTATGCCTAAAGCCTAGCCTACAACCAAATCAAGCTGATGGCCAGCCATGTCCTGATTACGCTCCAGGACACGAAGACTGGAGCAACCCTCCTGCCGAGGCTGGAGACTACAACAGTCATCCAGGCATCTTGGAGAATATGCGGCCTCGTTCAGAGATTGTTTGCTAGGGTGAGAAAGGTGATGCGGCTTTCTTCCAGAGTGGCTACAAGTCGGACTTTGGAAGGTTCTTCTTGAAGTGGTATTCTGGTGCAGCTTGACTTCTATCTAATCATATCTAATCACATGCGTAAGTCGCAGCACATCGCATCGTTGACCTGCCAAGGCCCTTCTGCAGCACGGTGGCGAGGTTCTGAAGCGGGCTCAGCAGGCCAAAAACAAAAAATGCAACCTTGCAATGACGCTAAAACTGTTGGATTGGGTTCAACAAATCCTGCGCAGGCCTTCTCCAAGTCAGGCGTTCGCTTGGCGGGCAAGGTGGCCGGCATCCACTGGTGGTACAAAAGCGAACACCATGCAGCGGAACTTACCTCAGGCCGGTCAGATGCAAATCGAGCCTGGCACTGTGCCATGAAGATTGCGTACACATGCAAGAAGTGGCTAGGTTACTACAACGCAGACGGCAATGACGGCTACGATTCCATCGCAGCAGTCTTTCAAACTGTAGGTGCAGGCATTGACTTCACTTGCATGGCCAGTGCCTCATTGGATTCAGCCAGATGAAAGTGTCATAAGTGCGCAGAGCAAATACCTGGAATCTGCTTAAAAGACCCCCATGAAACGGCAGTTTAAGAGCATGGCGGAGTTGATAGGACTGTGGCCTCCATTCTGTCTGACACAGCGTCCCTAGGTTTCGAAGGGCCTGCAACGGTATTGCAGTTACACACACACGCACACACTTATGGTTGTGCAGTGCCGGTCCAGAAGTTGGCATTTACTACCGGCCCGCTCACATACGCCCTTCTCGACTGACCTCTTGCGGCCCTTGGTTGAATTAGTCATTTCATGTGGCAGTGCCGAGGAAATGGCCGACTCAGAGCAGTCTTCTGATTGTGCTTCGGGTCCAGAGGAGCTTGTGCAACAGGCTGGGACTGCCTTCCCATGACTTTCACAGTCTCCCAATTCTTCAGGTGGTGAAGGGTACCTCCGCGCACGCCATCGCTCTGGGTGGTGAGAATGCCCTTCCCCGGTTCGATGACACTGCCTACGGCAGGATCGAATCCTACAAGTCAGGTAGAGCACTGAGAGCGAAGTCTGTAATAGGCTTCTAGCTGCTTGCACGTTTCGGTTACCTGTGGCTTAGGCATGAATGTGTTCACTTACCTTCGCTTGGGCGATGATTTGCTGAACGGAGACAATTGGAATCGCTTCCAGGGCTTCGTGAACCAGATGCATTCGTCGGTAGAGAGTTTCATCGTTTAGGTTTGCAGCGGTCCAAAGTCCTGAGCAAGCCGCGCCGTGACAGACAAAGAGGAGAGATCTTTGTTGTGCCGCAGCCGTGCAGATAGAGGCAGCCTGCGTAGTGCACGTCCTGAAGAGAGCTGAGGCATGGCAGCAAGGCCATGCCGCAGCTCAGCCAAGAGGAGGTGCGAGGAATCGAGATCAATTTTCCTAAAAGAAGTCAATGACAGATAATGACAGGTAAACATGCGACAGAAGCTCCAGCGTGCGCAGGAGGCTTTCTGCTGCTCAAATATTGGCAAAACCATACAACAACGAATGCAGACTCCAGGCTGCGAGGAACGAATCTCACACGGAGCTGGGCCGCCCACGCCCTAAAATGATGAGCCTGAAGCATCTGGCGTGAAGGTCCGCTGCTCCAAGGTTGGAAGAAACAGGTAGCTCAGCTAGACAGCGTGCTTGCAGAGTCAGACGAGGTGCGTCAAACTCACATGAGCCTTCTTCCTGGTTGCTGTTCTAGATCAGTTGACAGCATTGCTCTTGTCAGATTCGGCACGTGGAAGGGCCTCAGCAGGATCTGGCAGAGGGACAAAGACTGACGGAGCCCCAGAAGGAGGTTGCGAATGCAGTGTTTAATGCCCATCAAGAGCTGCAAGTGTGTAAGAGCTACTTATGATTCTCACCAGATCATCAGTCATGACTCGCCAAAAACGAGTGTAGATCCAATGTTTCAGGGCTGACAATCCTGTGACCAGCTTGTGGCACCCACAGGAAGGCAGAGAAGGACAAGTCTGATTAAGTCAGCAGCTGTAGCAAGCTGTCACGCCAGCTGTAGCATTAGATTTGTCTTTTCATGCCTAGCACTTCGCACGTGTGGATATGGGTATTACCTGATCTGACTTGCAGATTGTGAAGTGGATGAACCCCGAAACAGCCCCATTGCTGTTGTTCATGAGGGGGAAAAGGAGCAAAAGACCAGGACAGCTTTGCTCAAGTTATTGAAGGCTGCAATGTAGCTGTGCGGATCTGAAGGCTCTCGAAACTCCAGACTGACTTGTTGCTGGCGCAGGCTGGCCCATTCACCAGTTGCTCATTTCGTTTTGCATCAGATTATTTGGACGCCATGGAGTCTTTGCAAGGCTGAAGGGGAGCTGCTAGGTGTTGGGCTCAAGACTCTTTGCGCAATTGAGTTAGTTCCTGTGACACAGGCCCAGCGGTGTGCGGCTAAGGTGCTGAAGCATCAGAGGCGGGACGTAGCCTCCAGTACTTTTCAATTTGAGCATACATAGGCTGACATGACTGACGGGTAAGGGAATCAAGTCGCTGAGGTTTAGGAAGTGGGGTTTGCCCAGCTAGATTGCAGTAGCCGCCGTATCTGCGAGGATCTCGACCCAGCAGTGCTGCGCACTGAGGCATGCAGCTCGGTAGATTTTCGATGATTGGATGTTCAGTTCTGATGGCATAGCCTGTGCGTGATTGCACGTTTTTTCAACACACACACACAAGTGCTGAACAGTACTCCTTGAGTGATTCGACCTTGCTTTGGACTTGGCACAGCTGCACTCTACATAAGTACGTTTGCGCTTTAGGTGGCGAACCTGGTGCTGGACTCGGGACATGGATTTTTTAGTTTTTAGTCTTGGGAGCGACATAGACCCGGAGCGGCTGCTCCTGCCCGCGTGAGGAAGTTGTAGCGGTCCTTGAGGTTGCGGCACTCTCTCAGCGCCAGTCGGAAGTTCGCAGCCTGGAAGCTCGAAAGGCACAGGCGACCGTATTGAATTACAGCTGCGGGAAATTCAAGCACGTCGTTGTTACATCTGCCAGCAGCACAAGCTGCAGGCGGAAAAGGATTTAAGCCTGGCAAGCAATCGTGTGACGACCTACGAGGCCACAGCCTTAATCCACGCGCAAGAAATGTTTCAGAGACAAAGCCGGCAGCGCTTCGTACTTGTCGCTGTTGTGCCGAGGTATGGTCGCGTGCTGCTCATGTTGAGCTTCGGCAGGCAGGCTGTGAATGTCTTCTTTGACGGTCTATTGCAGCTCTGCTGCTTCTGACAGGTGGCCACAGAATTTGCGGAGAGGGAGGCAGGGAGCAAGGGAAGTGCGCTTCTTAGATTCCCATGGTGAGCTTGGAGGCGTCAATGCCGCTGCGCTTCCTGCAGTCGCACCCGATAGTACAAGACGTGACAGGTAGCAAATCGGTCCAGGTCATGTAGAGGCGTGGCAGTTCTCCTGCATCTTGTTGCAGGTGTGGCCGCGCCTTTTGGAGTTTCCCTGTGTACTCAGCCAGTGGAGCCAACACAAGAGGCCCACTGCTGCAGGGTAGGGACGGGCTGAAAGGCATGTCCGGATTTACCCGGATCCGGGATGGCTTTTGGCTCAAGCCGCAGAACCAACTATGGTCTTTTTACGTTCTCAGGTCTTCCTTTGTGACTTGGCTTGTTTGTGTATGGCGTACAGCGTTTGCATAGTTTTTTCCTGTAATGAGGTTATGTTGCATAGTTGAGGTACCCTGTGCCAACTGTGGCAGGGTCGCGGACCCGAGCTCATGACTGATATGCTTTCGGGTTTCAAGCTGGTCTGGAAGGTGTGCCTAGTATCCCGGCCTTGCTTCGAAGAGAGGCCTGAGCCGCGATTGGAATCTGAGAAGAGGATTTCTGAAGTTTGCCTGCAGGCGCTGATCTTCGAGTCCGGGAACGAAGAGCAGACGATCCAGGCGCAGACCGGGTCTCGGTAAATTCGGCTGGGCCTTCTTGCTGGCAAGCCAACTAAGGTAGGGCTGCACGGTTTCATGAACCTGCAGAGGCAGCTGTGGATGAAGATGGGGATGTTCTACAAATCACTTCAGGCTACGAGTGTCCTTTTGGGACACAGCTGCCGCGGGCCAAGCATCGTTGCATTTGCCGTAGCTATCATGCTAGTGCTGCGTTGATGCCCATAACTTCCATGACATAAGGTCGAACTAACATGAGATGGATGTCTCGTCTATGTTGACAAACTTTGCAGTCGTATGCGAGCACGAACGCTGCATAGGGTTCGAAACACAGGAGCATGAGTTCAGCTTTTTTGCGTGAGTGCACGTAACTGCTCCCACAGCTTGGGACCCAAGCAAAGAAAAGCGATCACGCTGTCCATAAGAAAACTGGGCTGCTCGTGAGCGGCTCCAACGAAGTATAAAGAACAGGAACATGAGGGACTCTGTGTGGACATTGGCGTTCCTGGCCTCGCCATGTGGGCTTGCGGGCCTTAGCAAGTTACATTTTGATGACCGTCGTCACTTTTGGCATTGCCCAATGTGACCCTCTACAAGAACTGAACACTTTCAACAATCACAGGCATTTGACATTTTATGGAATGATCCTTGTGACTGAAGCCGATTTGAAATTCTGAGGTGATATCCACAATTTCCTATGAACAGTTCGTATTTCGTTTAAACCCCTCTCAAACGTTGAGAAAGCATTCTGCAAGCACGCTAAGCCATCTCCGTATACACGTCCATCATGGTCCTGGCATGTCCGTACAAGTGCCTTGTGGTTTACTGGTTTCATGCCATATAAGCTTGGAAATGCTGAACATAATTTTTTCCTGTTTCGCTTCCCATCAACCACCATGGGGGAGGAGCGGCAACCCTCATGAAGACCTCATATCATTCCTTGAAATCCCATAAACAACGGGTGGGAGGGATCCTTTGATCCCACGCAATAACAAGGACGGCATCATAGGCGGAGGCAGGCGGTCCACCAAGCTCGTAGCCGTAGCCTGTAGCCGTACATAGCTGCGGGCATGAACAACGGCGACACGCAAGTGCAAGCACTGGCTGAGCACGCGGCCACAGCAGGTGAGCGTGGAGTGGAAGAATGGCCTGGCATGCCTGCATGCTCCAATCCCTCTGAAGCACGTCGCAAGTACCAACAAGTGAACCAAGCTCGAGCTAAGACAAAAGTCGTCTTACCATTTGCTTCTTGCGCCTCTTGTACGCGAGCAGAGAAGCGTGGTACTCCGGGTGTTTGCTCCCGCAGCGGCAAGCTCGTCACAAGGCATGCTGCTTCCACTTCGGCCTCAAGCCTTGCCCTTGATGCTGTCTTTGCTATTCCTTTCCTCGTTAAGGGAGACTGCTGGTTCAGGGTAACAGGCTGCACCCTTCAGTCAAAAGATCGAATGGAGCAAGCTGCGATGACAAGGCCAACCAGGCCATCCAAGGTGACACAGCGCACGCGACCGGGCCATGACCCAGATCAAAAGCAATGTGAAGGGGAGCTTGTCCCTCTCCGCGTCAAAAGCGTTACCACAACAATCTTAAAGTTTTAAAGTACAGCTTTGCGAGAGTGCCAGCAGTGGCAGTATTCAGGAAGCAAGCCTAATTGGCAAAATCAGTTGCGTCTGGCTTCCACTCGCACACATGTTGGGTCCTGCTTTGCCTGATTGCGGAGCACCACATCCACAACTAGCCTCTAGTGTTGCTCGAGCTATGCAAGGGAGCTTTTATGTTTTCATGTTGGTTTTCAGTAGAACGATTCGGATCCAGTTCTTGCGGAGGTTAGCAGACTTTGACCAGTGCCGCAGCGCTGCAGGAGGCGTAACGTCAGACACGCAGCCTGAGTTGCTTGTGTTATGCTGGAGGTTTGGACCTGCCATTCCGATTTGACGGTGCCCGGCTGACGGGCTGCCGTTTGCAGCGGTTGGGCACCAAGAAGGCATGCATCCCTTTGGAAACCAGCCTTGCGTCATCTGGCTCTAGCAGCAAGAATATCAAGAGTTTACAACACGATCATGTGGCTTTCAACATGCATCTGCACCACCGCAAGACACCGAAATGCTGCTACGCTGCCTGTGCAACCCAAAAAAGTTTGTGACCAGGCTGGCAAACGTCATTGTGTTCAACGGGAGGAGTTGGAGACCAAGAGCTCATTTTCGAGGCCAGATGACAAGCCTGGCAATGCAAGGTCATGAATCGGACAACTTCACTCAGCCAATTTGCGTCAGTCCTGCGCCAAGTTGTTGTTTTGATTGTCCCCGGAGCATCAAACGGCCCCCCCACCCTCCCCAATTTTTTGAATTGTACTCGTAGCAGGCTGACTTGCAGCCATTGTGGGAGCGTGTGCTATCCTTTGGCCTCATCTGGCCTGGGCCTCTCGTTGAGGCATCTTGTATTTTTGCCTTGGGTGCACCGCGCGCGCGGCCTCTCCTGGAAGCGTTGGCGGTCTTTCAGCGTTTCCTTCCTGCTTCATGGTCTCCCTCCTCATCTTGCACAAGCCCCCTTGGCGAGCAGTTCCTGAGCAGATTTACCAAAATGATATGCAGCATGCCTAGTATGAGAGGCACTCTTAATGCTCGGGGTGATGTGTACAGTGCACGGCACAGCATGTATCGACGTGCAACTGAGGACGATTCTTCAGGCGCCGGCATGTTTCCGTGTCTCCCGCCTGTAGATGCGTGTGGACAACGTCCCATTCTTCGAAAGCACCTTTGTGCCTGACTGCTTCAGGCACTTGGCCTGGGAGGCTGCGCAAAAAACAGATTCTGAGGCTAAGGGCCAAGACCTCAGCAAAGCACTGTTAGAGAGCGCCTGTTGTCATCCTCAGCATCCAAAAACGACACGAGGCCTGCGGCTCTTCTGCTTCGCCTGGACCACCTGGAAGTGGCTCGAAATTGGACAGAACGGGGGTGGGAGGTTGTAGTGTACGTGCTTCATTAACGAAATGTTTCTTCGTTGACATTTTTTCAGGCATGTTTTTGAACGCTGACTGGACCGGAGCGCTCAGGCCTGCAGACTTAGCCCTCCTGGATGAAGTGAGGCACAAGCTGCGTTGGTCTGCTACCAGCATTTGGCTGGGAGTCTGTGGTAGGCACACATTCCGCAAGTGTGATGGCTACAAGATCTTCAGCGACCGCATGCCGCATGGGAAGGAGTTGGTGAAGCTTGTGAATCTCTTTGACATGCTCACAGCCGCCGAATCCGCTAAATGAGGTGTCCGTGCTTCCGCACTATGAAAAAACTGACGTGCGACCAGAACCAAGCCTTTCGTAGCGGAAAGCATCTGTTATTGTCGGCAGATATCTTAAGCGAGTGGTTCAGTTCGGTTTTTGAAATCATGCTGGCGGTTTGCAGCGGAATGGCTCTGAAGGACGATGCGGACGTGGTCACAGTCAGGGTGCCACACCAGCCTGCCGGCCGATCGGAGTCCTGACGGATTGTCGTCATTGGCAGTACTTCTGACAGGGTACACAGAAATTTACGACAGTGGAAGATGTTGTTTGTGCCGCATACGAGGATGCGAACTGGCTTTACCACAGGAGACCGTTCACCTTGTTAGTGTAGTTCTTCTGACACTCTTTCTCGTCAAGCTGAGAATGTCGTGCGTACCAGCAGTGTTGCAGGAATATGGTTGGGCTAATGCCAACGTGGAAGCACATGCCACCTGACTTGGTTGGTGCTACCTTTGCCTTTCCTGACCTCCAGCTCAGCATGATCTCAGCATGCCTGCTTGCTGGGGGATCTGCGAAATGATTGTGCTGCCTGCAGTAAGGTTAGAGTCCGAGACGCGCGAACAGTTTGCGTCTTGGCTCGCAGGTGCATGTTGGCAAGAAGCTGGAGCCTGGCAGAGCAGTCTCTGAAAGGATTGGTTTCTGAACGTCGAATTCGACCACCTCCTCTTCCCGTCCCTCCTGCGCTCCACCATTGCCGAATACCTGAGCATTCTTCATACTGGTAGGAAGGAGCAGCAGCGCAACGTTCGGGGACCTCTACTGCTGATGTTTGGCTGGGATGCCCAGTCCACTGGATATGCCTGCACCTGTGCACGTTGCCCACGCAAGCATGACAAGAAAGTAATGCTGCGTTTCTTCGCCACAGGTAATGCCTTTGTCTTCAACAAGGATGCTGTGGATTCACTGTGGATGGCATGCGGCTCCAGAGCGTGCACAATTTCATGCTTCAACCAAGACATGGCAAGGAGCTTGTGACCATGATGCACGACCAATGGGCCAGCCTTGGTCAAACTGCACCAGCTGGTGGGCATTCTTGGATTTGCAGCTGTTCGTGTCTGCCGTGGTTGCATGTTCTGAGGCCATCCTGCCGTGGGTTGTCCAAGCTTCATGGAGGGTCGCTTTGAATGGCCGGATTCCTGCTCACAGGACGTCACACATGGATTTGGGTTCAGCTTCTCACCAGTCGCTGTCCTCAGGACATCGTCTACCCCAACATGGTTTCCGTGGCACTGGCCCCACCTGTGCCAGCCTATGGCGCAGCCGGTTGCGGGCAGAAACCCAATGACCGAGGGGGGACTGAAATGCGTTAGTTTTTGTTAAATCCTCATGCCAATAGAAGCAACTGGGATTGGAAACCTTAGGAATGCTCGTGAAGGTTGTGTTCTGTGGCAGGATTTCCCGCTGGCCTGTTTTGAGTACAGCCGTCAGCCCGTTGTGGACACTGGACTGGATCAGTGCTCTGGCAAACTCATGGAGCACCACATCGTGTACTATGCGTAGAACATCACTTGTGCGGACTCCTAGGCTTGGCCTTGTCCGTGAGATTGCCAACGTGCGAGGCTTGAGCAGCGAGGCACGTTTGCCTTTGCCAACCTTTCTTTAAGCATTTCTACAAAAGCTCTGATTGCATGAGGCGGAGGCCGAAGCGCACTACGCCGGTGGCCCCCTAGCCCCACATGCAGAACTGCTTTTCACAGCGAAGGCTGCCGAGCACGGAGATTTGCAGAATCTCTGCTATGTTGCATTGCGGAATGTGTATGAAGCGCTGGAGGATGTGCCGCTTTTTCACCATCTTGGAAGCTTACGCTGCAGCTGGCATGGTAACTCACGCTCTCAGTGAAATCGGAAAACTGATGCCGCAGTGATGCGGCTCATTGTCCTGGCCCAGGAGATCCAGCAGCCCGCCGCACGGCAAGGGAGCTCCTGGACGCCTGAAAATCCCTCCATGCACTTGCCTTGCGGACAGAGTCTGCCTGTGCTCGACCAAAGAAAGCAATGCAAGTTTCATGCTGGTGATGCAGAGTGATGCTGCGCGACATTAGCTAGCAAGAGACTTCGGGATTTCAGGGCGTTCATCACCATTCATCACAGCTGCATCCCACCGCATCCCACCGCAAGGTGTTGCAGAAGCCGTCTGCGAACGCAGGGCCGTCACAGGCCCACCGGATCCTGAAGATCACCTGGCAGAAGGCGTTTAAGACTGTGCCGACATTGGTCGCAAATGCCAGGCTCCAAGCTCAGCTGACCATTCCCCTTGGCCAAGGCTGTCCACATTTTCTGAGTCTGCAATTAATCTGCATAGGCTTTGCGCTCTGTAACTCCTTGCTGTGCTTACAGGCAGACCCCGAACTACCCATGCCGGGAACTCTGGTGCCGCAAGGCCCACCATGGCCCGTCTTGGCATGTCCCAGGCGTTCAGGTTCAGACGGAGAGCGCCAAGTGCAAAGCTGGGCAGGTGCCGCCCCAGCAGGGCTTGTCGAGCAGCGCTTCGGCACCCACTCTGCGCTGAGTCCAGAAATTATCTCAAAAACGCGGACTGTACCCCTAAACCTGAAAGCGGAGCACAGCTGCACCACTTTGCGGGGGAAACTTGCTTGGGGTTGGCTCTTCTGCTCAACAAGAGTGGAAGCTAAAGCCTGAAATCCTGAATTCAAAAGGCATATTGGATCCTTCCTGGTTTTCCAGCTGGATTGGGACTTAAACAGGGTCTCCTCCAGTGCTTTGTACAAATAGTCGGTCAGGCTTGCTGATTTATTGCAAGCCGCGACATGTAAGTCACAGCCTTGTCACATTGTGGCAGCAAAGCAGTGGTCTCTTTGTCAAGCTGTGCGATTGTGAACTTCCCACACACTCAGCGGCTGCTTCGCAAGAAATCTGGTCTTCAAACGCTGCCTTTGCTATGCTTCTCTGCATGTATGCAATAATGTTGACTTCACCTTAAG